GTCCTTTGTCTCCTCCTTTGCTGCCTCCTGGTCCTTTGTCTCCTCCTTTGCTGCCTCCTCGTCCTTTGTTTTCTTGTGTGTCTCAGCCTGCTGTGCTGGTTCAGCTTTCTCCATTGTCTCAGGTTTCTCTTCGGCCTTAGGTTCTTCGGCCACGGGCGGATCCTTCTTGTTTGGCTTCCTTTGCCTTTTCTTTGGCGCAGCGTCGGTGGAGTCCTTGTTGGGCTGCTTGCGTTTTGGAGTTGGTTTTGTAGGGGCCTTTGGCTGTGGGGCGGTTTCAGTCTTGAGCTGTCTCAGGATGCCTGCAAGCCTTGACGATTTGGCGTCCGTTTTGGACGGAACAACGGATTGATCACCCTGTGGCACCTGCTCACCGGTTGTCTCAGGCTTTGAAATGGTCTGCTTGGGAGTGGTTGTTGTTCTGTGCTCAACAGGTGTCTCCTCAGCCTTTGGCTCCTCAACCTTCAAGGTAGCAGGTTGCGCAAAACGTGGAAAGAAAGCTGCGGGACAATTTGGTCACTTGCCTTTCGATTTATTTAGCAAGTTTCGATTGCCATGATTTTTCTTCAATTTCATGCCAGTCTTTCTCACCAAGCACTGCTTCTTGTGGGTCACACAGTGTTGCTTTGGTTTGGAGAGGTCCAAGGACAAAATGTCCGGAAAACAACAGCACTATAGGTATTGGCAAGAACGCGCTGGCACGATTCATCAATCTCACATGCGAACTCCATGCTCACGTGCGGATTTTCATCACTGGGAGGGCCAAAGCCATTCGCAAGGAGCAGCTGGGATGCTGCGAGCTGGAGCGAGGCCAATGCCTCAGGCAGAGAAGGCTTGGTTAAATTCAATCACAGGGCCACAAATTGACTGGGGAATTCAGAGCTAAAACTACATCTCAGGCTAGTGACACTTTCAGGGCATCCGACACCACTGAATGTAAAACTCCATCGCCATGACTGCAGCCGTTCACACACCCAGTTTGTCCCAAAGGCCATACTCAAACGGCTCATAAACATACTGGGCCATCGGTAAGCATCTTCCACACTCACGAAGCCACTGGGGTGGCTTGATGCCCCAGCATACACGGTGCACTTCGGGTATTTCTTCCTGTCCCAGGTTTTGACTGTTCAACAACCATGGGAAAACACAGGACTGTAGTGATCACAAGGGCTTCCAGCCAGCCTTTTGACATCTTTTAGGTGTGCTTTCTTCGTCTTCCTGGAGGGCAAGAAGCAGGCAAGATGTTTGATGCATTGAAAGGCAACCCTCACATCAACACTCCTTGGACCCGTGGAATCAGTTGAAGAGGGTTGACCACCTCTGACAGGTTGTGTCCACCGGGACCTGAGTCAATCACGCTTTGTATCGTTCAGAAATGAACAAAAACGCAAGGGCACAGTACCAGTTGAACACACCTGACCGTTACAGTTATGACATGTAGAATGGTCATTGCATCGGAATGAATGGTGTAGCGTTATCCAAACCCAGCCTCTTCAATGAAATCAAGATGTTGCTTCCACTCTTTTCCCGAAGTCAGACATCGTATCAGCTCTAGTTGCTACCGTTTGCTATCACGTCAAAACTTGTTTCGTTGAAAACACCGTCGGCGAGGTATTCTGTAGACTGAGACTGCATTCGGCATTGAGAAGCCAACGCATCTCCGCGTGAAGCTGGATCTGAAGCTTGTCCCAATTCACTGGGCCTGCCCATACACAAAGTTGAATACTAAGCCATGTTTTGAGTCAACGTGCTTAGCTTACTTTTTGGCAAATGGCCTTGGAAGTCCTGGTTCTTCGGGTTGCTTCTCGTTCTTCAACACATTGTCCACGGTCCTACCCAAATTTAGGTCTGATAGCTAGATACACACCTAGTTTTGGGTTTGGGGGTTTGGTGGAAACTCAACCAAACCACGAAACATTCGAAAGTCTGTCCTTTGTCTTGACTTGGCACCAATGGGGGCGCCAGCAACAGCACGCACAGCGTGCTTCAAACCTATGGGGGCCATGACTGGCCACCTTGAGCAAGCGAGTCCCTGAACAAACACACGCCTGAACAAACTGAGCAACACCTCAGTCTTGTGTTTCAAGAGCGGACATGCAGTGGACCCCCCAAACACGTCCAGATTTCATTGTTTTGCGTGGTCGAGCTTAAGAACCCGATTCTTTTGCTTTCAGAGCTGCTTAACAGCTCCAGATCAAATCAGATCCAATTATTCAATGAATTAGTAAAATGCTATGCTAATCTCAGCTACTTGCAGGCGACTGGACGACTGGGATTCGAACCCTGGGCGCAAAGTGGTTGGGAGAAGCTACATCCTAGACAAGGAAGCAGTCCTTTCCCGTGGCGTCTGAGGATGGTCACCATGATGTCCACGCTTTGATGATGGATCCTGCGGCATGCTGTGTCCGGTCTCTGAGTAAAGAAGCTTTCATGTCAGGATGCTACTCGTAACTTGACAGTTTAGTCAGTGAATAAAACCACACCTGATTGGAACATTGAGTTGCGTTGGCTTCAGATTTCCTCGCGACAGTTCAACTTGGACTGAAAATGACTGAAGCAACCGATGACCCTTGTGCCCATCAGACTGCCTGTGAATCATCTATGGTGATGACCTGTCAAAAACCACTCATGGGTGGAAAAGGATCCTTGAGCCCAACCCTGGCCTCAACACCAGGTTCAACATCTATTTGGGTGTCTTTGAGGGTGTCCTCGAAGGTGTCCTCGAAGCCCAGGTTGTGGACTTGTGACTGGTAGTGCTCAAAGGTGCCCTGGGGGTCCTGCCAACCAAATATTCCAAGATAAGGTCAATACGGGCTCATATCCGGTTTCCACATGTTTCTCCACAAAGGTTGGTGGCCAAGTGTTCCTCGGTCCTCGGTATTCAAATCATCGGTCCACATGCCCAGCAGTCAGACATCATTAAGGTCTGGTTGGATTTGAACAATGGGCGAAGCATTTCACCCAGTTGGCCTGAGCATTCAGTCGCCTGGCGGCAATGAGCCCATGTGGCTTTAGTGAGTGGGGGGGGTCAACATCTCGGCCTGAATGAAGGGCGGATACCACTGGCCACAGTACGTTTCAAGTGATTGGAAAACACACGCTTTGGCATCCTAGTCCTAGCTTACCCAAATGATGCTGATCAGGACTCAGAAAATGGCTACGGAAAATAATGAACACAAGAACCACAAGCCTTCACACAACCGATGTAGGTGTGGTGGTTGAGTTCACAGTAAAATTGACTTTTCACCGGCCAATCCTTGCTTGGAATACCATTGCTGGGACAATTCTGCCAAGTGCAGTGGGCCTACTAATTTCAATCCTCTCAACGGCCCCAGCCGTTGTGTAAAATGGCAAAGGGAACAATGGCCCAGGATCAGTGCACTTCACCAAATCAACAAAAAATTGAATTGCCCGTCCGCTTGTGTCGGAAGGGAAACGACGCAACAGCACTTGAGCGAACTCGAGGTACTTCTTTGCCTTTGCAGGTTGTACCCTTTTGAGATTCCGAGGTGCGGTGGGCGCGCTGTTCACGATAGGCTCCATGAACTGGTAGGGCATGGCCAAAATGGCTTCCTGGCGTGCTAAGGTGCCACATCTCATTTAGTTAGGGGGGTTACAGTATGTTACAGTAACATACAATTTACAGTTAACCACTTTCTGTTCGATTTCGAGCACATGGCCTGGCACAGAAAGTCGTCAGCAGCATTCGTCTTTACCGTCACAATAACATCCAGCTCATGGGGTTCCAAATGCGTACCAGTCTGGTTGTCGCACTTGATCACCAGGTTGCGCGGGCAATCTGGCGAGATGATTTTTAACATGACAAGTACCCCGGAAAGAGTGACGCATTTCACACTGACCTCGCATTCCAAAACCCCATTCACCCAAAGGCCTTTCCTCAGCATAAACAAGTAGCAATGATGGGCGCTTTCATCCACTTTCATCCCGCCCCGGAAGGTCACAGGAAGATGATGGTCAAACCTGGGAGCGTCGTGAAAAAGAATCTGGCGCTGGCTCACTTTGGAGTTTGGACGTGGGTGCAAAACAATTGTACGCATGAAGCGAATGTGATGATGGTTGCCTAGAAACCATTCCTTCCATGGTCGACAACTGGTCAGCCACTCCACTTTGATGATGGCCTTTTGGCCAATCCAACGCCTGATGTTGATGCGTTCCAAAATGTTCTTCAGCTTCCTAGGTGTCGGCCGAAGAAGCAAATTAATTGCTGTTTTGGTGAAAATTGCAAAAAGTTCACACTGCTGACTACTATTAGATTTGGATGAGTCGCGCTATGCAGTCTGTGGGATCACAAATAAGGTCCACGTACTTCACACAGCTGGCCAGGACCCCGAAAAATTGGTCTCAGTTTGTCCAAAACAAATGATGTATCATTCAACAATGAATGCTTTGAAGAAGGTCAACTATTTAGCATCGAGTAGCCTAATGCTCCATGACTGTGTCCCACGCGTGGGAACAACATCCCAGCAACCACCACGTGGAGCTTCTGGAGAAGCGAACACATCATTTTCATACAACATCCATTCTTCGTCTCTCTGACGGTGTTGTCCGCCTAGCCAATTCAAGTAAACATCAAACAACATCGCCATGTGAAGGCAGAAGCTTGAATGTTTTCATCCACTAAGTCACCCGTATGTATACTTCTGATGGCATCTTCTTCTGGTGCTTCGAGAATATCTCAGAGCAATCTTGCAACGATCTCATAAAGCACTCGCACACCATCGAACTGTCAGAGGCCACTCCAGGGTGAAGCAAATACAGTGTCATGGATACCCCATGTATCCAGACACAGTGCAGCTTTGTCTTGGGACGGAGCAGCTGGGCTGTCTCCCGGCTGGACTGCGCCAGCCGGTTTCTGGGCAGAGCCCACTTTGACTGATCCATTCCATCCTAATTGGGAAAGATTAGTCAGAAGGACATCTGACAAAACATCTGAAACACATCCTGCAGACAAGTATCCCAATGGCACCAATGGATCGTCAATGGGCTGTCATCATCATTCTCTAATGGCTGCTGTTCCTGGTTCTGGCTTAATTTTAAAGATCTTTTACATTGAGTCAAAGATGATCAAAGCATGCCAAAGATGCCCTGGCCTCTAAAAAGCTCTCAAGGCGTCTGTCCCTGGACACCTCGTCCAGGTGGTGTTTGTAGTCTCTTGCCACTTCGTACTTCCCCTGGCTGTCCTCAATGGCTTGCTTTCCAACGCCATCTCTGAACCACCATCAAAAACACAGCCCAATGTCGAATTACTTTATGTCTATGTCTATGACGCACAAATCCACGGCAATGCATCAAGTGGCCCTCACAGTTTTGAACTTCACTTTGCAGTCCAAGCAAGCGTCACATACGGCGTGAGTGCTCGGTGGCAAAAATCGTAAGACTTTTGCCCAAGTGGACTTGTATCGGCGCCAGAACGTGACGTACCTTGAAACAAAGCTGTTGACAGGTCCGTGGGATTTCCATGTTTAGCCACAAATACCCTAAATGCCAAGTGGCGCAACTCCAGGATTTGTCTCCCGGAACCTCATGTAGATCATTTTCACAGAACCTGGTGGTAAGAATCTTGTTGGGAGCCCCTGCACTCTGGAGCTGAAGTTGCATTCAACTATCCTGGGATTCTCACTGAATGCGTTTGACGATGAAAGCAGAATGAACCAATTCCAACACATGTGACTAGGCAAGTAACTTGTTGAAAAACGACTGAACTCCCATCACGTGGAGACGTAAGACCTCATCGTCTTCCAAGCGTTCTCCATCAACTGTAAACTCATCAGCAGATACAGGGAGATCGTCTTCCGAGTCAGACCCTGACGCACCCAAGTCAGAGCATAGTATGATGTCTAGTGAGTCTAGTGTGTATGAAGTCAAAACAATGTAGCCTTAACCCATTCTGGTTTGTTCAGATTTCTCTCCTTCATCGTCATCGTCTTCTTCAAGGCGGTAGACAACTTGCAAGTCATCGCTGTTGCCCTTTCGCTTGTGAGCTCCCCTTTGGAACCTTAAGTCAGTATGTTGGATGCATTGGTTACATCAAGCGTCATTACAATTGGTTGAATGACGCTGAGACAAGCAAGAACTACTGTGAGCTAGCAGCTTGTTTGGCAGCATACCAGCTGCATCATGGTACATTTTCATAAGGAAAGCATCTATCTTCTGTTGCTTGACAGCATGGACTCTCCGTACCTTGGAAACATTCCAAACCTGTGACGCTTCCAAATTAAATTCTTCCAAAACCTGGGATCCAAAGCTGCGACAGTTGAACATTCAAGTGAATGCATCCGAAGTGTCAAATGCAAAGGCCCGATAGCGAAGATCAACCCACCCGCTGCATGCCGAGTGCAGACGATTGTATCCAATGCCAAGGATCGTAGCCAGACATCGTGGGCCGACTCGGAGCCCCAGCAACATCCACTGTCTGTAGGTACCAGCAGGAGCAGCACCAATCTTGTGAACCTAGGGTTCAACCCAGTTTCCGAATACAGGAAAAACATCTCAATTCAAACAGTGAAAGGAAACCACAAATCATCTAAAATGATAGCTGAGGCATGAGTGTAGAAGCAAAGGCATCTTGAAGCGTTTTGCAAAGCGACCAGAACTGTGTTAGAAAGTGCATCAAGTTTCCAACTGTAAATTTCTTGAAGCAATTTGCCCGAACTGCAGCTGCAGCGTCTCAATTGCCGTTGTACCCTGGAAAGGCTTTGGCCGTTGAAGTGATGACTCAAATGCTTCATACAGGCCGGACCGATCAAGCACACACCAGCTCCCAACCCACAGCAAAATATACAAAAGTATGTCAAGTCAAAACAAAGCTGCTTCTTTCTCTCCTCCCTTTGGATCGCCATAAACTTTCTTTTGCGATTGTCGTAGTTCGGTCTTGCTGGCAAAGCTTTGGGGGTCATCTTGTGTGCTGTGTGTTCGACGTGATCACATTTGAACTCCAACAACCCCTCCAGTGAAAAATTGCAAACTTTCACTTCTGGCCTTTGGCCTTCAGGGTTGACCAACACAGCACTTGACTGATTTGACGCCAAGGAAGCACCTGACTGGCTTGATGCCTGTGGCACTAAAGATTTCAGAAAGGCCTCACGTACATCTTTTTCGATCCATGTACTGCCATGATCCGAAGATAGTCTTGAAGTCGAAGAAGCATCTGATAGTCTTGAAGATGAAGAAACAGAATTATCAACTCCACGACCAGAAACAAGAACTTCGGCTGGATCATCTGATACTCTTGAAGAAGATGTCTTTGGGGCATTCACACGACATGATTGGAAAAACCTCAATCAAAAGTTGGATAACTCAACACTAAGTTAAGTTTATGAAGTTTGTGCAACATGCTTTTCAAGCATATTGCATGCCAGGTAACTTAAGCCTCCTATCCCCTCCATCATGTGGCTGGGGCATCACCGCTCTGGGCCAGACCTGCTGCAATGTGGAGTGGCTGACCAGTCGAGTCTCAAATGCGACGAAATCTATCTCATTCGTAGGGAAATCTCCTTATATATAATGATATTGGCAGTGGCAACAAATCATTCGCACATAGTTTGTACTGGGCAAGTTTGTCACAAGACAAGAAACAAAAACACAAACTCAAGCTACCACTCCGCACAGTACACTCCACACAATTGAAATGTCTCAGCCCCACGACTGTTTGCAGGGGGGCGTTTTTCGTCAGGCGCAAAAAACATCATGTCCAAACTTTAATTCTGACTGGAAGTCTAAGGTACACCTACAAGTACCAGCAAATACATCTTTCATCTTTCATTCGATCTCAAACATTTTCAAAACATCCTCTCCTTCCCCAGACCCTTCACAGAACCTCCAGCAGTTTGCTGTCCAAGGCGCCACAAAAGCCCTACAAGCTGCGCACCAGGTGATCGCGCCGCTTCTGGAGCACCAAGCGGTGCAGCTCCTGGTGCTCAAGGGTCTCCAGGAATTTGCCAAACCTTGGGGTCCAAACGACCACGACGGGTTCTCGAAGCAACGATGAATTCACGTCAACGTCAGGGAGTTCGGAAGATGTTGAGGTCACAAGGGCCACAAAGAGGTGATATATGATCCATCTGTAGTCCAAAATATTGGACAAGTACACCGTACACCAGTTCAATACTGTAAGCCAGGAAAGTCCTAGCAACACATCCGGGAACACCAAATTCCCATGGCACAGACCACCACGACCAGCAACCCAGGTCCTTGCAATGAAGGTTTCCCATCGGCACATCATGCTTAATGCCAATAGAAGGATGCATTTTGAGTGTGGTTTTGGTTGGGCTTTTCACATGGCACAGCGCCAAGGAATGTCATTTTGTTGCTGTTACAGTTGCGAACCCTGTTTGATCAAAACGCTGTGGTTTGCATGGAAGGCAAACTAATTACTGTATCGGTTAATGCCTTTCATCCTAAGAACCTGTATGGCACAAAGAGTTTCAAAGAGCATCGCTACTAGTAACTTAAGAAGCTACTAGTAGCGATGCCCTTTGTTACTAGTAGCTTCTCATTACTAGTAAGGCCAGGAGCTACTAGTAGCTTCTTGCTCCGTTCGTAGCGATGCACTTCGTCATCGGGCCATTGAACTACTCGGCCCCATTGGGCCACCCTGTCAGCACGGCCGTGCATCGATTCATTGCAGCGAGCTCCAGCTCGGACCCATCCAGATCATCGTGCCACGGTGGATTGAGCAAAGGCTTCTTGCATGCTAGAGTTTCTACTAGCTTCTTGTTACTACTAGTAAGGCACTTGTTACTAGAAGCGATGCACTTGTTGCTAGTATGACATGACATATTCTTAAGCTGAAGAACACCCCCTTTTTCCCGGCCGCACTAACCTCACCTGGGTCTCTCGCACCGTCCACCTTCGCTCCGTCCTGTCACGCTGCCTTCACCCGTCCGCTCCTTCCGAGCGGCTTGGCGACATGCCGTCGGTGTGTCGAGCCAATGGGCGGCAAGGTGGCGGCCTCCTTCCGCGACCGGGGCACGAAGTCCATGGAATGGAAGCTGGGGCGACGCTCCTTGGAACGGCCGAGTGCGCTTTAGCTTGCGCTTTAGCTTGCTTGCTGGTGTATGCGGTCCGCCGTTGTCTACTGCCAGGTCTGGGTGGCTGGAAGGTGTGGAAAGGGTGTTTCATTGCGTTTCTTCGTGAGCATGGGTCATGGAATTGATTGAGGAGGCAAGAACATGGGATGCGCAATATGTGGGGTGACACAAATGATGTGCAGTGGTGGTCGTAAAGCTGGGTTGCTATTACGGTATTTGGTGTGCAGAAAGTCGAGGTGCTGATCATTCCTTGCTTCTGCCTGTTTCATCACGTGCCGTTCGTTCTCAACACGAGCCCGATGGGACCACATCACGGCACACAGCTCGCTGGGACCATGGGCATCGACGTGAGCGTCCCACCGAGGCGTCGACGTGAGCGTCTGAGGCGTATGTCGCGGGCGGGTTCTTTCCGAACATCATGTAGTGAACACATGTGAACACTGCTATAGGTTCAATGATTCAACCACTCTGGAAGTCATCTTTAGATGTGCAACAACACCTGGTCTCATTGACGAACTTACTTATATCTGGAAATCAACACCTTGTATCTTCATATGTTATCTGCAGGATATCCACATTGTGTAAGGCCGTTTACTTGGTGCTGGCATGAACTCTTTGGTCCACCGGGCAAAATGATGTTATGGCTTCGCAAAGCAATGACAGCTGCCAGTTCCGAACCTTTTGTGCTAAGAAGCTTGGACCTCAATCTCAAACTCGTTGTAAATGTTCCCATCTTCATCCTGACACAGGGAGTAGACTCAAGAATTGTCATCCTGTATGGGGCATTGGAGATGATTCTGAGATGATATTCCAAAGGTTAGATTTGGAGGTGAGCCAACAATTTCAATGTCTTCCAAGGGCGCATGAAATTAGATGAATGTCCCCGTCCAGTTTGGTGAAAAGGATTGATTGCACGGCCTCATGCCTGGCTTTCATGTAAGTTTATGCCCCCACCAAGTGACCAAAGTATGTATTTATTTTTCGGCAGACTTTGGTCAGGCACAGTCAACATGATGCATCAACCCAGCTTGCGCTGCAAGCTGTGCAGTTGCAGAGTCAGCAAAGGCGCGAGCGGTGAACGAAAACAGCTGCAGGAGGGGTCCACTCCCTTGTAGCAATGCGTAGCAAAAGCACGTCCAAGAAACGACGTCCAACAGGACCTCGAATTCTCCAAATGACCTGTTATGTATATACTGTTAAGCTGTGCCATGGGCAATTGATGGAAGAGGGACTGTCTTTTCTATGACGTCTTCTATTGGAGTATTGTGAGATAGATTCTTGGCGTCCTTCTCCCCTCCCCGGCGTCCACACCTTGTACCTGATTTCCGCCGCGTCGCGCATGTTCAGTGACCTCAAACCCGCACCTCGGATTGAACAGGCTCTTTGGATCTGTGGGGTGCCTCAGGCCTGAATCAAAAAGATGACCACAAATGGCCGGAAACCATTTTAGAGGAAAGAGTTCAGTGGTGATGGGTGGTGTCTGAAGTCTTAAGCCTAGAGTTTAGACCTAAGGAAG